CTTCTCAGAGGTTGTTGTTTAATTCTTTCCTAGGCCAGAATTGAAGACATTAAGGAGAAACAAGCAGCAGAGGCCGAAAGAAACATCCGGATCCAGTTTAAAATGGAGAAAATTGTATATTGCCAGGACTACAGTTATATTGCTGATTTAAAAACTGTTAAGGGAAGAAAAAAGAACAGCGAGGCGAAAGCGTACCCATCAGAGGTGACCATTGGAACTGTTTCAATGCAAGATACCTCCTTCATCGAGGAAATGGTTTCTCACACGCAGGCTTACTTCAATGTGAGTTTACAGACCACAGTACAGGGGTTGTGCTGTGCTCTGAATGCTACAGGAGATCTCCTTCATCCAGATCTCGCTGCAGTCAGTACGAGTCTCTCTGTGCTGTAACGGTACCGTACGCTAGCGCTACCATGCCGGGAATAGTACTCACGGGGCGCAGGTGCTCCATCCAGATCACTCCACTCCACACAGTGTCTGTCCAAATCAGTTGGAGCTTCTGGCAGTCAGTGATGAAAATGCCTAGATAAAGCTGGCTCCACGGGCTGCATCAGCGGCAGGGGGCGGGGGGAAGATTACGGATCGCTGCATCTGGAAATCGGAAAAGCTTGCAGGCTGTCAAAATGACAGCTAGCTCCTAAACCACTTGTTAGCCAGCCCTCAGCCTGGCACAGCTCTCTGCTGTGGTTGCCCCTCTCCCAGGCAGCGTACCTTCAGCAAAAGGGTCCTCCTCTCACCCCCCTCCCAGCTTTTGGTGGAGCAGGGGTAACTCCCTGCCCCCTATCTGGCCCCACACAGCAGCACACTCTCTTTGCCTCTGGGGACAAGTATTGCAGGGGGAAGGACAGGTACTTACCCGACTGGAGGAGAGGAGAGGATGAGGAAGAGCCCTGTAGTTAGAAATTACTGCTATGTGGCTGATAGCAAGCCCTGCTCCCCAGTAAGGGGAGCAACAGGATGAAGCAGCCCGAGGATTGCTTTTGCTGCTACAAATCCATCCCACAGTTTCCACTAGCTAAACGACAGTGTTTACAGCACTTCTGCATTTCGCAGAGTTTGAGATCTCAGGTCAGCCTCAAAGCTCTGTGCATATTCCTGCT